GGAGCAGGACAAGACGCAACAACAGGGGGGGACCAGGGCACGAGCAGAGGTAGCCATGGTCAAAGAAGGGATCGGGGCACGAGTAGAGGTCGACACAGTCGAGGAGGGAGCGGAAGGTGAGGGCTTAGTGTTTTTCCTCTTTCAGAACGTGGGTGTTGGAGCTTTCTACCTCTTCGAGGACCCCCTAGCTGAAGGTAAGGAAAGTACAAATGAAGAAGAAGGCTAGCCAAAGTAAACCAAAAGAAGAAATAACTAAGAGGCCGATGACAAGAACAATTTACTAGTCAAAGGGAGAGGAGGCCCAAACTTCTTGAAGAAACCCGACCACTCGCGTATCCCCACGATGTGAGGGAGGAGCCGACCTACCCAGCCAGAAATATTATCGACCAAAGAGGGAGGTAAACAGTTAGTTGCACAAAAAAGGACAGAAGGTTAGAACCACGGCCAAACACGAAAGAAAAATTCGATACCTCCAAACAAGGAAGTTATATACTTACGAGTACAATTCCAAGCCTCGAGAAAACCATCGGCGTTGGCCACCATATCCTCAGTTCTAACAAAGAAAAGGTTGAACCAGAATTGGCGGTTAGCTTTGTCATCCATCTTCACCACCAAGTATTTACCTCCTCGGTGGCAAAGATTCAGCATCATGCCCCTATAAAAGCTGGGGGCGAACAGGTGCGTCAAATGTCGAAATACGAGTTCGACCTCGGCCAGCTCCACAAATTTGGTGAACATCCTTATGAGTTTGTAAACATACGGCGCGAGCTGAGCCGTGAAAATGCCGTAATAGCGACAAAATTCCCCCGCCAATAGAAAGAGAGGAAGAGTGTAGCCGACGTGAAAGGGGTAGGCATAAAAGGCGCAATACCCAGGACAGTAGACCTGCACTGTGTCCCATTCGGCATGGATTAACTCGAAGTGATTGGGGAGGCCGTATTTAGCCTTAAGCTCTACCAAATCGGCCTATGTTATCGCTGATTTAAAGGTTCCAGGGTTGACATCAGGCAAGTTGGAGAAATCAGACCTGGTATCGGGGTTGCGAGGAACTATCTCCTCCACCATTGGGAAGCTTCCATCCTCGGCGGCGGTGGGAACGTTCTCCGCGTGAGGGGGAAAGACCATCGCTAGAGGGACCACATCACTTCTCTCACTAGACTCAAAAGGTATGTTAGACACTTTTTAACAAAAGAGAAAGAAGTATCAAATAATGGAGGATTAAAAACGATGGGAATCGCTGGAACAGAGGGGAAAAATGCAAAGTAATGGGAGAGAAAGAAGGGGATATAGGGTTTCGACACAAGAAACCTGAAAAATTTAAAGTTATATCCTAACATCCCTATTTACAAGGACTCAGGCACTAGAACGGAAAAATCAGCTCATCATTACATGGCACCAAAATCGAAGCGGTAGGTCCAATCAGGAGTCACATGCAAAATGAAGCAACACATCGGGAATACGCGTCATGGTGACGCATGGCGTCATGAAATCACCCTGATTTGTGGACAGCATAACTCCAACAAACTGACCGTGAAATGAAGTGTTCGAGACTCGCAGCTCACGAAGGGCCACGTTACCAGTTCACCACTATCATCACGACCCGCTCAGCTCACCTAGTCATTTCGATCACAATGAACTAAATCCGCTCATCAAGCCCGCCTGAGACCGGCCTCAATATGCGGAGGGACTAACTGTACGGGTCAAAATCCTCCCTTAGAATATTTAGGTCAAGATAATACTACGGGAAGAACCCTCAAAACATCATTTGTTAAGATGGTCCGAGAAGCCGCAAAGCCTGTGGTCGAAGAGTCGACGAGAGTCGTAGTCAAGGCGTCAACAAGGGTCGAGGTCGAATACCGTTAATAGAGCAGTAACGGCTAGTTTTCAAGATATGATATTAAAGGGAATATTCTAGTGAATATTCTCTGCATTTGTACTATTAGGTTTTTTTAGGAACATGCCCCATATAAATATAAAAAGAGACAATGATAGAAGGGGCATGTGACATTCATTTGTAAAAAAGACATTTTGACTTAAAGGATTATGCTCTCACTTGATACAAAGATCACCTTTTCACTGAAATTCTTGTCGACGCTTTATCATCAGATCTGAGAAATCCTTGATTATTTATTTGTCAATCACTGTCAGGAGGAAGATCCATTCATTCTACTCTCTATTGGGTGAACCATTCCTCCTATTTGCTTAAATGTCATTTATTGTTATTCATTAAATATTATATACTACATTACTGTTCCTGATTTCCCATAGCATTTATCACGTGATATTGTCATTGTTCGTCCAAATCTATATAGCATCAATTGCTCTTTTCGTAAACTAAGATCTAACGATATTATTGTTAGATAAGATTAACCTTTGTTTACATAAATTTAATTATTTGAACCAAGATTTATATTTTTGGTCAAACAATTAGTTTATTTATCTTATTTCAGACTATTCAGTTTCTTTATTGTCATCGTATTTGAAGTTTGTTAAAAATAGTTAATAACTACATCTAGCGTTGGCTTGCCTAGAAAGTGAAATATTAGGCGCCATCACGGTCCTGAGGGTGGGAATTCCGGGTCGTGACAACTTCTACATCTCTATTAGATTTTTTGTTTGCTTTTTCCTATTCTCTGCAACCTTATCCATTGGATCTCAAGATTAACCTTTGTTTATATAAATTTAATTATTTGAACCAAGATTTATATTTTTGGTCAAACAATTAGTTTATTTACCTTGTTTCAGACTATTCAGTTTCTTTATTGTCATCGTATTTGAAGTTTGTTAAAAATGATTAATAACTACATCTAACATTGGCTTGCCTAGCAAGTGAAATGTTAGGCGTCATTACGGTCCAGATGGTGGGAATTCAAGGTCGTGACAACTTCTACATCTCTGTTGGATCTCAAGAACATATCCATTGATTAATGTGCTTTTGCTTCTGTTAGTAGTTTAACAGAAGCGGGACGGATTCTACTTTCCTAGATCGTAAGTAAAATCTAAGATTTGAATCTTTTCTTCTTTTCCTTTTTTTTTTGATAACCATGATATTCGGGCTAGTTTGTGTGCAGCTAGACTAATTCCACGGGTTACCTGCTAACTCGCACCGCATTTGAATCCATTCATATATGAAGAAGAATATAATATAGTCAAATTGCATAATTTTAAATATAGTTATTTTATGTCTATGTCCAGTTTTTCAGCTTGGATTAGGTTCTATTAATTTACGAATCAAAAGGTATTTAGAGCAAGGAAGAATTTTGGCCCTAGCCCAAATTTGGGCAGGGTGAAAAACAAACAAATGGATTTCAGATCACTTTCCCTCTCAAATTATTATTATTGCCAACTCTTCTCTACAGCTGTTTTGCTCTGCTCCATATTATTCTGCATCGAACTACTAGCATCCTACGGTATCAAATTATATGTTGTTGCTCACGTGCACCCACTGCCTCTTACGTGGTGGCACTTTTCATATTTATTTCATCAGTAAGATATTCATCTCTCGATGTCTATACTTTTCTGATTGATACTAACATTGTTTGAACCGAATCACAAAAATGTATCTGAATGATGCAGGATTCTGAGGTGATCTGGTGAAAATTTAAAAGAACATAAGATATCGTATTATGTTAGTTAAATGGAGCCTCTATGTGACTTCCGTGGGGTAGTGAAGGCAGTGGTGTATTGCACGTCAGATTTAGCAAGGCTTTGTTTGGATTGTGATGGATTGGTGCATTCAGCAAATTTTTTATCGCGAAGGCACCCTCGTTTACTTATTTTGCGAGAAATGCAATTCACATCCAGCTACCATAAAATGCCTGGATGATGAAATGTGCCTATGTCAATCCTGTGATTCCAATGGAAATGGCTGTAGGGGTACAGGACATCGACGCCAGAAGTTGAATTCTTATAGTGATTGTCCTTCGTCTGATGAGTTTGCTAAGATTTGGTCTGGAGTTGGTGAAATGCCTAAATAGTAATGTTAGCTTTGGTACCTCTTGTAGCTCACTGAGTGCCAATGAAAATAATTCCTCAACTGCATGTTTGGAGCTTAGAGGAAATGAATTAAGTTCCTTGGTTACTACTCCATCTCTCCCCATCCCTTCTAATCTCACTTACTTGACACCCTTCAATAGAGATTCAGTACCTCTCCTCCCCAATGAATTTAGTCTCCCAAAGGTTAAATATTCTTTTCTCGTCTTTTTTCCATTTTAATAATTTTTAGTACCATTTTTTCGCTCCCAAGTCTATGCACTCACCATGTAGAAAGAGTCAGATCATCAAAAGTAATTACTTGCTATAACATATTAAAATATACTGATAGTGATAGTGTATATACGTCAAGTCTTTCCACTAGGATGGCTGTAATATCGCTATCTCGCTAGAACGTGTTACTGATGTTATTTTTGTTTCCTTAAATGCAGCTAGGTTGTTCCAACATTAAGGATCTTGGATTTCAAGGAGGAGATAATCTCTCAGAAGCTATTGACTTGGATGACGCGGCATTGAGCTTTGATTGTGGTTACGAGATTTTTGGCAGTACACAACAAAGCCATCCAACATATACTAGTGAAAACAGCAGGGGTTTGGATTGCCTTGTCAAGGAGAGGAACTTATCGGTCACTGAATCTTTAAGTCATGCTGAAACTGCTCTAGAGGTTCTTCTCTGTCCTGCTGTTGTCTCCAACTATTCTGTCTTTCCTTTCTACTCAAAACCAAGTTTTAAGGAAGTCTCCATACAGTTCTGGCATTAGTACAGTCAACATTACACTTGTTTAAAACCTTTTGTTTTCAATATGATAATCAGTTTTGCTGATTTAATTTGCTACTAACAGTTGCTTAATTCATGAAGATGTATTTAACATTTTTTTTCCTTTGGCATGTGTGTTAATTATGATATCTTATTTTTTTTAGGCATCAGCTTCCGGACAAGAGTGCATAGGATTTCAGTCCTCACAAATAGCTGAAGCAGCTAGTTCAGTGAATCTGTTGCAGACGCAATGAGTGTCACAGCCAATTCTATGCTTATGAATTCCGGTTGCAATGGAAGCATATGTTTAGTACTTCCACCTGGATCAGTCCATTCAAGCGTTTCATTGTCGCTCTCCAACATCACAGGTGAAAGTAGTGCAGCAACTGATTCTCAAGATTGTGGATTTTCGCCGGCCTCCTTTCTTACTGCTGAATCACCATGGGAGTTGAACTTGGATATGGAAACTAGTAATCGATCACAAAGGAAAAAGGCCAAGATGAGATATAACGAGAAAAAGAAAACCAGAACGTAAATAGATTCTACTGTTCAGTCATAGCATGCATGCACCTCAGTCTTAATTAGATGCATCATTAATTTGACAATAAGTGTTATTTCATGTAAATTATGACTTTCAGTTTTATTGACATGTTAATGTTATTGTTCATCCTCAGGTTTGGTAAGCAAATAAGATATGCTTCGCGTAAGGCAAGGGCGGATACCAGAGAAGGGTTAAATAGATTTGGTAAGGCTGGGGAAGCTTATGATTATGACCCATTAGCAATAAGGGATTTCTGAGCTCAGACAGCTGATTTTAGCCTCTTCTGCTTTGCCAGAGTATTAAGGTACTCCACTGTTACACCAACAACAACAACCCAATATAATCCCACTAGTGGGATTTTGGAGAGGATAGTATGTACGCAGACCTTACCCTTACCATGGGGTAGAGAGGCTGTTTTCGATAGACCCTCAGCTCTATCCCTCCAAGAACTCCCCACCTTGCTCTTGGGGTGACTCGAACTCACAACCTCTTGATCAGAAGTGGAGTGTGCTCATCACTAAATCAACCCACTTGTGTAGTCCACTATAAGTTACTCAAAATTATCAGTCCTTTTATATCAGAAGAGAGCCAAAAGAATGGAGCTTTGCAGAAGAAAATTAGCTAAATAATTACTCCATCCGTTCCAATTTATATGAACCTCTTTGACTGGGCACGGAGTTTAAGAAAAAATAAAGACTTTTGGAATTTGTGATCCTAAACAAATCAAAAAAGAGCCCATAGTATTTGAGTGGTTATAAAAGCTTCTCATTAAGGGTAGAATTGTAAGTTTAAACTAAATTATTTTCAAATTTAAAAAGAGGTCATTCTTTTTGAAACGTACCAAAATGGAAATAGATTCCCGTAAATTTAAACGGTGGGAGTAATAATGTTGTCAATGTGACAATAGAGACCAAAGCACATCTTAGTTATCGACTCCGGTGGAACTCTGAGTTTTTAATATAAAACATTTTGTTGCCAATTTTCTTGAGAGTTGAACATTCTGCAATCAGTAATCGTGAGAAAAATCTATTCGAATAAGTCGCTTCTGTATTTACCACAACTTATCAAAATAAGCTCGCTAGTGACGCATACCAGATAGTTGTCGCGATTCTTTGATGGCCTTAACAGTTTCGGTATGAACATAATTTTTTCAAGGTTAATTAATTGAAATTTGTGTTGATTACGCAAAAGTCACTTTTTTGCTCTATTTATCACAAAAATCACTTTGGCCAGATTTTATAATACTTACTTGAAAATTCTATTATGTCCTTGACATTATAAATCCTCTCATTTATGTAATATCTTCTACATTATATACTGTATAATATATTTTTACCTATACTTATAATTAAAATAATTTAAATCATTTTATTTATTATTTTTATAATATATTCATACATTTAATTTTTTCTTGGCACTCAATTTGTTTAATCATATTCAAACATGAACATATTTTAAATATAAAAATGATAAAAATATATTTATTTTTTAATATTTATTTAAAATAATAAAAACAGATATGTTTAACAAATGATAGTTTTTTTTAGTCAATAAAAATTTAAAAAAAAATTTCAAAGATATTTGTATTTAATATTAAGTTTTTAAAGTTTTATTTGTTAATATTATTTATTTGAAAGTATTAATCTGATGTGTCATTTTTCTAAATGTGAGTATTGTATTGATTAAATTAATGTGTATGCCTTGGACGATAAATCAATGAGCGTTGGTTTTTTAGCTTTCATTAAACATATTTCATTAAGCATGATTAAGAACGAGGACTTGAGATTTGTTCATGGTAATGTTACTGACAAATTTAATAATGCTACTTATATATCTTGAAAATTAATATTAAAAAAAATTTAAATGTACGAATATATTATAAAAATAATAAATAAAATAATATTAAGTTATTTTAATTATAAGTAAAATACCTGGGTAAAAGTATATTATATACTATATAATATAGAAGGTATTACATAAATGGAAGAACTTATAATGTCAAGGGCATAATAGACTTTTCAGATGAAAGGTTTGTAAAAGCTGGTCAAAGTAATTATTGTGATAACTAGAGCATAGTAAAATGATTTTTGTATAATAAAAGAAAGATACGTGACTTTTGGGTAATAAATACAAAGTTGAATGATTTTTGTGTAACTAAAGAAAGAAAAATGACTTTTGGGTAATTGACACAAAGTTGAATAACTATACGTGAAATTTACTCTAACCTGACATTGTTTTATGATAACTTAATTTCATTATCTGAATAAATTATACCTGCACTTGAATAATTGCATTCCTCAGTCTGCATTCTTTGTTATGCTTACATTATCACAGACCATTCTTCTTTGAAATGCTTCCTTTTCGATGGTAACAGTTAAGAGCAAGGTTTGAAGATGAGAATTTGATATGAGTTTCAATAATCAAGAAGATTTCCTATTTATAGCTATAAGAAAAGAATTTGAATATAAATTCAAAGATAAATACAAAAACATACATATAAATTCTGCATCCACAAGTGAATAAAACATTACTTGTATGTCATTTTTCAAATAAACAATACCACGTTATTCCATTTGAACTCATGGATAAATGGTTTATCAGTGCAGTGGACACAAGGCATTAAATTATTGCATATTAAACTATATGAATTACTTTGTCTCGTGCACTTAACGTGCACCACAAGAAACAAAAGTGGGACATATAGTGCCTTCAACCATAGATAAATCGCGGGATTATTTTGGTACTAAAATCCCACATAAAATGCGGGATTATTTTACCCCCGCTTACCGTTATGAGTATTAATTAATTCCAACAATAGTTTCTAGTAAAATAACAGGATTAACTATCCCATATATAAAAAAGCGGGAAAACAGAAATAGCCACCCAATTATTGTTCCTTACACCCCCTTTGTCGCGACTTCATTTCACCCTCCGTAGTATGTCATGATGACACCTAGTCTCTAAGATTAGGTAAGCCTAACAGATTTGCGAAAATACATAATATAAAACTGATGCCCAATTCTCAACACATGAAATAATTATAAAACTGCCATTCAATAATTACAACTCCCAAAATCCGGTGGAAACAAGTCACAAGCTTCTAAGAGCAAATACTAAGTGTCTCTATACATCAGAGTCTAAAGAAAAAAAAAGAAAACAACATAGTAAGGATAGAGGGGGACTCCGAGGTCTGCGGACGCTGGCAGATATACCTTGAAGTCTCCACTTGCGGTCCAATTCACTGGTATCTGGTCTGGTGGGAAGAACCTGAATTTGCACAAAAAGATGTGCAAAAGTGTAGTGCGAGTACACCACAATGGTACCCAGTAAGTGTCAAGCCTAAACTCGGTATAGTTGTGACGAGGCCAGGTCAGGGCTCTACTGGTTTAAAAAAAAGTAAGACAGAAGATATAATAATATTTTGAAATGACTGAGAATTTAAACAATAAGAAGTTTCAGAAAATATCAGCACAGTAAATGGAGGTAAACAACAGGGGCACTCCCGAGATACCGCCTCGTAGTCTCAAATGTAAATATGTACGACAAAGGGGGATCTCTCGAGGTACCGCCTCGTAGTCCCAAAGTAAATATGCAAGACAGGGTGATCTCCCGAGTAAATGCCTCATAGTCCCAAAGTAAATATGCAGTATAGGGGGATCTCCCGAGTAATCGCCTCATAATCCCAAGGTAAATATGTAGTACGGGGGAATCTCCCGAGTAAATACCTCATAGTCCCAAAATAAATATGCAGTACAGGGGGATCTCCCGAGGAACTGCTTCGTAGTCCTAAAGTAAATATGCAGCAGGTAATCGAAGGAAACACGAATTTACAGCAAGAATCTTACAGTTAAAGATTTAGTTCAAATCAAGGAAAGTAGGTAATTCAACTAAGCATGTTGCACAAATTTCAAGTAAGAGTTAAGGCACGTAGACATATGATACTACGCTAAACATGATCACTGCATATGCTAAGGCGGCTCCGTTAATGAATTTTAAAGAAGACAACTCAGCACGTACCGAAATTTTCCATAGCTAGCCCGTGTACGCACTCGTCACCTCGCGTACNCAAGGTTAGACAAGTCACTTACCTCAAATCTCGCTCAATCAGTCAAGTAGTATGACTTTCCCTCGACTTTCCAACTCCGATCGACTCGAATCTAGACAAAATAGTTTCATACTATAAATATAACTATAAGAAACTAATTTAAGTAATGAAACTACGAATTTAGCAAAGAATCGAAAATTCGGCCCAAAAAGTCGACCCAGGACCACGTCTCGGAATTGGGTAAAAGTCATAATATACGAATACCCACTCGACCACGAGTTCACCCATACCAAAATTACCAAAATCCGACACCAAATCGTCACTCAATTCCTCAAATCAGCTCCCCAAATCCCTAACCTCAAACCCTCAATTTTCACCTTAAATATACACTAACTTGGTGGGATAATCAATGGGGAAACAAGATTATTGATCAAAAATAAACACAAGGGACATACCTCAAGAAACCCCTCAAAAATGCTCTCAAAAATCGCCAAGACTCGAGCTCAAAATGTCCAAAATCATAAAAATCACGAACCCTTGATTTAATATAGTCTGCCCAGGCTTTCCGCTTTTGCGGACCAAATTCCGCTTCTACGACATCGCTTCTGTGGTGAAATCTACGCATCTATGGAGTTCACTTAAGCTCCCCGATTCCGCACCTGCATCCAAATATCTGCATCTAGGGATACACTTCTGCGGTCCCTCGTCCGCTTCTACAGAAGCCTCGCCCATTTTCGCTTCTGCGGGCATGCACCTGCGGTCAACCTTGCGCAGGTGCGATTACACCAGAACCAGCCCAACACCAGAAGATCTTCTAAGTCCAAAAATAATCCGTTAACCATCCAAAACTCACCCGAGGTCCCCAGGACCTCAACCAAACTTACTAACAAGTCCTAAAACATCATACGAACTTAGTCGAGCCTTTAAATCACATCAAACAATGCTAAAAATACAAATCGCTCATCAATTCAAGCCTAATGAACTTTAAAACTTCAAACTTCTACACCCGACGCTGAAACCTATCAAATCAAGTCCGATTGACCTCAAATTTTGCACACAAGTCATAATTGACATTAAGTACCTACTCCAACTTTTGGAATCATAATCCGAACTCGATATCAAAAAGTCCACTCCCGATCAAACCTTCCAAAAATTCATTAAATTTCCAACTTTCGCCAATTGACGCTAAAATGACCTACATTCCTCCAATTC